CCCCCGCGGGCCTGGATCGGGGCTCGGGTTAGGCACCGACTGCCGCCAAGCAGCCGTCCCCTCACGGGCTTGCTGCCTGCCGTGCTTGCTTGGATGAGTCTGCGACATGCCTAATAAGAGACGAGATGGGCCAGGGCGACGAGAGCGACCGCATTGTGATCAACGTGGGAGGGACTAGGCACCAGACTTACCGCAGCACCCTACGCACCCTGCCCGGCACTCGGCTGGCCTGGATCGCCGAACCTGATGCCCACAGCCACTTCGACTATGACCCCCGCACGGATGAGTTTTTCTTTGACCGGCACCCGGGCGTCTTTGCCCACATCCTGAATTACTACCGCACTGGCAAGCTGCACTGCCCCGCGGACGTGTGCGGGCCCCTGTATGAGGAGGAGCTGGCCTTCTGGGGCATCGATGAGACCGATGTGGAGCCCTGCTGTTGGATGACCTACCGGCAGCACCGCGACGCCGAAGAGGCTCTGGACAGCTTTGGTGGGGCACCTCTGGATAGCAGTGCCGAGGACGGAGACATAGATGGCACCGGAGACTCTGGTGATGGTGAAGAGGAGCTGGAGATGACAAAACGGCTAGCACTTAGTGACTCCCCGGATGGCAGGTCTGGGGGCTTCTGGAGACGGTGGCAGCCCCGCATCTGGGCGCTCTTTGAGGATCCCTACTCCTCCAGATATGCAAGGGTAAGCTATGCAATCAGCACCCTCATCAAAACACTCGAACCTCCCTTCAGTCCCACTTCCTCCCAGCATCATCAGGGTGATCTCCACTGTCAGAGCAGAGCAGCCATCTGTGCATGTGGCCATACAAAAGTCATGCATGGGCTATGGGAACATAACCCACACTCTCAAGCAGGCCCCATGCGTGGGGCACGAGTGGACACCAAGGCAGGAGCTTGTGTACTCATATGTGGGCTTCCAGAGACCCTTATTTTCTAACAGGCTCCTAAAAACCCACAGCCTGGGGCAGGGCCCCATTCACAGGCCAGGGAGATCTCCAGGTAATTTCCCTCCATGCACAGATTTTTAGTGTCATCCCCCAGTAAAGAGAGATACTTTGTCCAGCCCTCTTATGAGCTAACGGCTCTCTCCCCTTTGCTAGATGCAGAAAGGATCATGGGAGCAGGCAGTCCCTGTGGGACCAGGGGATTTAGAGAGTTTCTCAGCCTGGACTGGAAAGGGAGTCTGTTCCTTTCTCTTTTCTGATACGTACCATGTTAAATATTTATGATCATGCTTCTCCGAGAATGGGTAATTCAGCTGCTCACTTACCTCCTCACTCTGTCTTTTCCCTTGTGGGAAGTATTAATCAGAGGAGAGGGTTCATTCATGCAGAAGGGACACTGTGTTTGGCAGGCTTCTTGCCTGGCTACTGAAGGACAACTCCTCCCCTCCTGGTGCCTGCGGTTGTTTTGGAAAGGGAATGCACACTGGTGCAGTTCACGGTGTAGCTGTGGATAAAGATGGTCTTAGACAGTCATCCACCTCCTCTGAGTAGGTATTCATACTATTACATAGGAGGATAATTACATTAATTAGGGCCTGATTCTGCTCCTGAAGTCAAGTAAAGAAAACAGGAACAGCAGCAGGATTAACCCCCAAGATACTCATATTGATAAGCAGGAAAATAGATGAAGGATAGTGCCTTCACAAAGAAATTGGTTTGGATAGCTTTTACTCCTCTCTTAAATGTATCTTTGTTACAGCATAATTGCTGCCAGCCCTCGGTAGGGATGAGTGGTGCTTTGGTGTGGGAGGATGATCCGTGTTCCTGAGGAGGATCAAAGAAGTGAGATCAGATTAGGGAGCAAATCGGACGGATGGAGAAAAGAGAAGTGGAAATGCAGGGAGCAGGGACAGGGGAGCTGGTCCTATATGAATGGATGGTGGAACAGCAGCTGCTGGAGACTTTCGGTCTGAGCAGAGATCTCCAGCAGGGAGCCGCCAGATCTGCAGACTGAATGAATGGAGAAAGCTGGAGCAGAGCCTGGAGTTATATCTTGGTGCATTTCTAAAGATTCTTGTTTGCATACCCTGTGGAGATTTCCTCCCTGAACAAAGAAGTTAATATTTTAAATGAATTCCTTTAAACAGCATGGAGGATAAAGGAACAATAAAATATTTACCACGAGATGAAAGGATGATGCTGTTGAATTGCAGCTTTCAAATCCCTGATTTCTGCCAAGGGAACATGGAAACGGAGAGGAAAGGCTGGAGGGTATCCTTCAAAAGGCTTAGTTAGCTTCCTTTAATCAAGCCCAATGTTAACAGGCGTTGATTTGAATAGCAGATCTCTCTAGTGCCCAGGAATCTGTTGGTAGAACACATTTCAAGTCAAAGCAGTGTGCCTGTCCAAGATTTTGTGGAATGGTCCAAAAGCCAAATGGGTAATGCTGTCCCAATGAAAAGGATACAAACAGAGGCTAAAACACCCTTTTGCTTGGAAGCATAATGATATTTTAGGTCAGAGGACAAAATCTATAACCAATAGTAAGAGTCTTTGTGATGTGCAAGCTGGAATTCTAGGAGGATATAAATTCCATTTTCTAATTCTCTGTGGTATTTTCATTTAGGAACAGGCATTTTATAAAGTGATTTGGATTTGTTATCTTTTTTGCAGTGGATGTTATACCATTTATTCACAATTACATGTGCATACCTGGTAGAATTCAACCCGTGATTTACCTCTAACTCGTTCTTTCCTTAAAGGATTGTTAAACTAGAGAAATATGAATTCTGGGCAAAGTTGAAGTGTATACTGAATATTTCATGGGTTAAATATGATTCTTTAACTTGTATCTATGGAGACGTAGGCCATATGCATTAATATTTTGCATGAAGGAAGATGGCTTTCATCATCAACACATGCACACACTGTCCATTAAGAAGACATTATAGACACTTAACATTTTCTAATAAAAGCCATATGTTATGGTTATGGATGTAAAAAGAGATGGGAGTTTGATTTATGCTCCTGTAACCTAACACAGACATTGCAAAAAGACCTCAAACTCACAATAGCTAATTTACAGTAAAATAATTGATAGCATCATTAACAAGTGAATGATATATTAAAGCAATCATTAGTAAAGTATTCAGGCAACAAATCCACTGTTACTTCACTTTTAATTGTGTACGCTACTTTGAATTACAAATTTCAGTCATGCAAAAATTTAAATTCACATTGCCATTTTGTCAAAAAAATACATCACAAAAATTTGCCATCCTAATTGGATCCGAGACTTATATTAATGGTGGTTATTATATACATGTTTGGTGTTTACCAACATATGGCACCAAAATGTATGTCAAAATAACATTAATATAAGCATCGGTTTACATAACCATTATACTGTTACACTTGGGTAAGTAAAAGGAACAGAGTATATGGATATTAAGATTAAGTGAAAACCTGCATATCTGAATACAGCAAGATTTTTCTGGACTATATCTGGTATGCTAATTCAGTGAATGTTTAGGAACAGTCTACAGAAAGCTTAGCATTTACTCAGATCTAGCCATTCTTGGAGCATTTTGATGGACACAGCTTACAAATACAAGTACCTTTGACTGTTTTGCTTCACCGGCACCTAACTCATACTAAATTACATCTGATCTCATTGTAGACGGCCAGGGAAGACTGGAAGAGCATTTGTGTATGTCAGGCAAAATCAGCTACTCTGCAAATTTTGTCTATTTCTAAACCTACTTTCATAAAGCATAAGCTCCCAGTTTGTCTTTAGGTGCAACATAGTCAACAGTTTCGTGTTAGAATAATAGTGGCTGAGTTTAATTAAAGTCTAGTTTTCTAAACACTAATTTCTTAAATAAGGTAGTTCTTTCTAAAAAGATGAAACACTTTAAAAAATTGCATTGTCTTCTAAATCTGTAATAAGAAAAGGTAGCTTGTTTCAAATCACAGATTGCCTTAGACACCTACCTTAATAAGATAAATGGGTGTCGTACTTCTCCATAACTTAAAGAATCCACATGTGGATAACAGAGGCAAAGTCTAGTACCTGGAAGTCTGAACAGAGTAACAGATAAGTGATGGAAAAAATCAGATTTACAGAGATACTGGGTTCATATGTAGATAGACAGGTGTCCAGGTGGATTTTCAAAAGCATCTGATCAGGCAGCTAAATATCACCGCATGTCAATGGATATTGTGCACCTAAATTGGTGAGACGTTTCTTTAAAGCTTATCAGAACTGTCTTTTTTGCATCGTCAGGCAACTTTGTAAATTTATTTTTCATAAGTAGATGCAAAGGGGGAAATGGAGTCACACAAAAGCTACACAGATACACTAAAGCAGCATATCCGAGAGTTATGTTCTAATAGAGTTCCTGCCTTCTGCACTCATTAGACTTCGTAGGCCCCTCAGTACACAGATGTGTGAAAAATATTTCCATAGCATCCTCTCTGCTTTATATTTATGTCTGGTCATGCTGTTCTTACGCTAGTGAAGCCCCCACTGACTTCCTGGGGAGTTTGGCCTGCAGGTATCTAATGTCTTTGACCCCTTCCTTCTCCTCCTCCCCGGCAGGATAAGGTTGTGTTTGTGTTAGTTCACAGTCGTTAGGTTAGTCAGTGTTTGAGAACAGGAGCTTTCAACTGAGATTCTGCGCTAGTGCTGACATTCAAACTGGACAGCTAAGCTTCATTAGTGAACCCTCAGGAAAGCTTTTGTAGTCCTTCCAAATAAGCATTTCTACTGTTTTTAAATAAAAGCTGTTTGGGGTCCTATGGAAAGTCCTCAACAGCTTGACTTGCCATCCTGGCATATGCTATACAGCTCTGATCTGGAAGAGGAAAGGCTTATGGCAAAACTCTCGCTCACCCTTCCCATCCTGCAGAAGGATCTGCTTTCCTCGGTGATTTTTGAAGGACAAGTTTCCGACACTGAGAAGGAGGCAGGAAAAAGGATAGTGGGGAAGAGATGAGGAAAAAGGTACTCCCCAGGGATTTCTTCCAGCTTTCTTTTGTACATCCAAGAGCATTTCAACCTTGCTGTGTTCATTTAAACTGGTTTTTCCTCTATATAAACTACATCCCGTAAGTATGAGAAGGCTTACGGGATCCTAGTTCCTGAATAACCATACTGTCTCGAGGCTTAGAGGCTGGGGTGATTTCTGCTCATCCTTTACCCTGGCCCAGTACAGCTCAGCTCAGGAATTGGGGAAATGGGAGTGGGACTAGATACTCATCACCCTTCACAAGCGGAGCTTGTTCTGCAGCCGCCTGACGTGGGACACGCTTCGCAGAGGAGTGCTCCACGGACAGAGCCTGGGCGCTCCCGCCAAGTGTGAGCGGACAGGGAGAGGAAGGAGGAGAGCCGCCCCACACGCCTTCCCCCGCCCACAGGCACCCCTCTCCCCAGGGAGACATTTCATCAGAGGGGCCCTGATGGAGCTGCTCTCCCACCTCGGGCCTTTCTGCATGGTCCCCCCTGCAGAGGCGTATCTAATCCTGCACTGAAGCTGGCTGCAGTAATTCTCACCATATACTTTGACAATTAACGAGACAGCCTAATTTTAACTGCACGCTGCATTACAGCTCTGGAAAAATGAGAGTCTTTTCACATTAAATGAAGTTTCCCCTGCACTTGTAGTATAATGGAATTACAGATAGACATCTATTAACTACCATTCTATCATTCATTATTAATATAGTTCCTAAAATC